ATAGTGGATTTCCTTTCCATTGCGATGCTTGTTTCTTTTGCTGTGCAGAAGCTTTTTAGTTTGATGTAGTCCTACGTATTAATTTTTTCCTTTGTTTCTCTTGCCTTAGGAGTTGTATTAGTGAAAATTCTGCTGCATGTAATGTCTGAAATTTTGTTGCCTACATTTTCTTCTAGGATTTTTATGGATTCACGAGTCACATTTAAGTATTTTATCCATTTTGAGTTTATTCTTGTGTATGGTGTAAGTTGGTGATCTAGCTTCATTTTTTTGCATATAAGCTGTCCAATTTTTCCAACACTATTTATTAAAGAGTCTGTCTTTACTTCATTGTATGCTCTTGCCACCTTTGTCAGATATTAATTGAGCATAATGTCTTGGGTCGATTTCTGGGTTCTCTGTTCTCTTCGATTGGTCTATATGCCTGTTCTTGTGACAGTACCAGGCTCTATTGATTACAGTGGCTTTGTAGTATAACCTGATATCCGGTATTGTGATCCCTATTACTTTGTTCTTCTTTTTCAAGATTGCTGTGACTATTCGAGGTCTCTTTTGGTTCCATATAAACTTTTGAAGTATTTGTTCTAGTTTTGTGAAATATGACATTGGTATTTTGATGGGGATTGCATTCAATCTACAAATTGCTTTGGGTAGTATGGACATTTTAATGATGTTAATTCTTCCAGTCCATGAACAAGGTACATGCTTCTAGTTTTTATATCTTCCTCTATTTCTTTTTTCAATGTTCTGTAGTTTTCTGCAAATAGGTCCTTTACTTTTTTGGTTTAGTTTATTCCTAAGTATCTTAATTTGTTTGTTGCAATGGTAAATGGGATTTTTTTGTTTGTTTGTTTCTCTTTCTGTGAGTTCGTTATTGGTGTATAAGAATGCCATCATTTTCTAGATGTTAGTTTTGTATCCTGCTACTTTGCCAAATTCATTTATTAAATCTAGTAGGTTTTTTATGGAGTCTTTAGGGTTTACTATGTATAATATCTTGTCATCTGTGAATAATGACAGTTTCACTTCCTCCTTTCCAATTTGAATCCTTTTTATTTATTCTTCATGTCTAATTGCTGTGGCTAAGACTTCCAGTAGTGTGTTAAATAAGAGTGGCAAAAATGGGCATCCCTGTCTGGTTCCTGTTCTTAAGGAAAATGCTTTTAGTTTTTGCCCATTGAGTGTGATGTTGGCTATAGGTTTTTCATATATAGCCTTTATTATGTCGAGATATGATCCCTCTATTCCCAAATGGCTGAGCATTTTCATCAAATATGGGTGCTGGATTTTGTCGAATGCTTTTTCAGTGTCTATTGATATGATCATATGGTTTTTATCTTTCATTTTGTTTGTATGGTATATCACGTTTATTGATTTGTGAATATTGTATCATCTTTGCATCCCTGGGATGAATTCCAATTGGTCATGGTGAATACATTTTTTAATATTGCTAATATTTTGTTAAGAATTTTGTATAAATATTCATCAGGGATATTGTCTTACAGTTTTCTTTCTTTGTAGTGTCTTTATCTGGTTTTGGAATTAGACTTATGCTGGCCACATAAATCAAGTTTGGAAGTCCTCCTTGTTCTTGAATTTTTTGCAATAGTTTGAGGAGAGTGTTAGTTCTTCTTTGAATGTTTGGTAAAACTCCTCCATGAATCTGTCTGGGCCCAGACTTTTGTTTGCTGGAAGAGTCTTGACTACATCTTCAATTTCCTTAGATGTTATTGGTCTGTTCAAGTTTTCTATCTCTTCCCGGTTCAGTTTTGGGAGACTATGTGTTTCTAGAAATTTGTCCATTTCACCTAGACTGTGCAATTTATTGCTGTATAATTGTTCATAGTATTTGTTAACAATCCTTTGTATTTCTGTGGTGTCAGTTGTTACTTCTCCCTTTTGTTTCTGATTTTGTTCTTTTAGGTCCTCTATCTTTGTTTCTTGGTGAGTCTGTGATGGTCCATCAATCTTGTTTATCTTTTCAAAGAACCAGCTCTTTGTTTCATTGATATTTAGAATTTTTTTTTAGTTTATATGTCATTTATTTCTGCTCTGACATTTACTATTTCTTTCCTTCTACTTATTCTGGGTTTTTCTTTCTGTTTGCTTTCTAGTTCTTTAAGTTGTGAGGTTAGATAGTCAATTAGAAATTTTTCTTGTTTCTTGAGGTAGGCCTGTAGTGCTATGAATTTACCTCTCAGGACTGCTTTCTCTGTGTCCCATAGATTTTGTCTTGTTGTGTGTTCATTTTCATTGGTTTTCAGGAAGGTTTTAATTTCCTCCTTGATCTCCTTGGTAACCCATTCATTGATTAATAATGTGCTAGTTAGCCTCCATGTGTTTAAATGTTTCTGCATGTTTTTGTTGTAATTGATTTCTAATTTCCTGCCATAGTGATCTGAGAAGATGCTTGATATGATTTCAATCTTGAACTTGTGGAGACTTAGTTTGTGTCCTAACATGTGGTCTATCTTTCAGAATGTCTCATGTACACCTGAGAAGAATGTGAATTCTGCAGTTTTGGGGTGTAATTCCCTGTAGACATCTATTAAATCCGTTTGCTGTAGTGCATCATTTAGAGTTTCTGTTTCCTTGTTAATGTTTTGTCTAGAGGATCTATCCAGTGATGACAGTGAAGTGTTGAAGTCCCCTGCTATGATTGTATTGCTGTCTGTTTCACATTTGAAGTGCTCCAGAAGTTTTAAAATACATTTTGATGCTCCTATATTGCTTGCATATGTGTTTACCAAGGTTATATTTTTCTGTTATATAGATCCTTTCAATATTAGTAGTGGCCTTCTTTGTCTCTAGTTATGGACTTCATTTTTTTTTTTTTTAATCCTCACCCGAGGACATTTTCCATTTGTTATTCAGATAGAGTGGGAAGGAGAGAGAGGAAGAGAGAGAAACATCGATGTGAAAGGGACACATCAAGTGACTGCCACAAACATGACCCAACCAGGACCAGGGACAAACTGCAGCCAAGGTACATGCCCTTAGTGGGAACTGAACCTGGGTATCTGTGGACTGCAGGCTGACATTCTAACTGCTGAGCCAAACTTGCCAGGGCATGGACTTCATTTTGAACTCTGTTTTATCAGATATGAGTAGTGCTACCCCAGACCTTTTTTCCTTTCCAGTTGCTGGAATAATTTTTTCCATCCTTTTACCTTCAACCTATGTGAGCCTTTTTCTATGAGGTGGTCTTTTGCAAAGCACATATATGAGTCATGTTTCTTATCCAATCAGTTACTCTGTCTTTTGATTGGAGCATTCAATCCATTTACATTTAAGGTGATTATTGATATGTACTTATTTATTGCCTTTATATTTTTCTTCTTATTTCTTTTACTAATTACAGTAGTTCTTTTAACATTTCTTGCAGTGCTGGTTTGGTGCTAATATATTCCCTAATCTGGGAAGCTCTCTATTTCACCTTCTGTTTTGAATGATAGCCTTGCTGGATAGAGTAGTCCTGATTCAGATCCTTGTTTTCATGACCTTGATTACTTCATGCCATTCCCTTCTGGCCTACAGTGTTTCTGTTGAGAAGTCAGCTGATAGCCTTAGGGGGTTCCTTTGAGGGTAACCTATGGCTTTTTCTTGCTGAGTTTAGGATTCTCTCTTTGTCTTTAATTTTTGGCATTTTAATCATTATGTGTCTTGGTGTGAACCTGTTTGGGTTATTCTTACTTTGGGCTCTCTGTGCTTCTTCAACTTGTATGCCTTTTTCCTTCACCAAGTTAGGGAAGTATTCTGTCACTATTTCTTCAAATACATTCTCTAACCATTGCTCATTTTCTTCTTCTTCTGGAACTCCTATGATGTGGATGTTGTTATGTTTCATATTGTACCACAGTTCTCTTAAGCTGTCTTTCTGTTTTTTATTTTATTTTTTTTCTTTTTGGTTCTCGGATTGGGTGGTTTTTACTACGCCTGTCTTGTAATTCACTGATCCATTCCTTGGTTTTCTCTACTCTGATTGTTATTTTTTCTAATGTATTCTTTTCCTTTTTCTTTTTTTTTTTATCCTCACCCAAGGACATTTTTTCCATTTTTTTGTTCAGATAGAGTGGGAGAAAGAGAGAGGAAGAGAAAGAGAGAGAGAGAGAGCGAGAGAGAGAGAAACATCAATGTGAAAGGGACACATCGAGTGGCTGCCTCCCACATGACCCAACCAGGGCTGGGGACAAACTGCAACCAAGGTACATGCCCTTAGCGGGAACCTAACCTAGGTCTCTCTAGACCACAAGCCGGCATTCTAACAGCTGAACCAATCTGGTCAGGGCTAATGTGTTCTTTATATCTGCTATGTCATTCTTCATTTCCAATTATTTGGTTTTCAATGTTTCTATATCTTTACTCATGCTGTTGAACTTCCTCATTATCATCACTCTGAACTCCAAGTCTTGATAACTTGCTTAACTGCATTTCATTTATCTCTTCTTTAGTAGAGTTTTCTTTTTCTATTATTTGGGATTTGTTTCTTTGTTTTACCATTTTGGCTGTCTCAGTTGGTTTTGAGCGTGCCAAATTTTTCCTGTTGTTGTTGGTGTTCCACTGGTTGTGGCTCCCTTTACTGGGTTTGGATGAATGTGGGAGAAACCATTTTAAACACCAATGTCAAGTCTTACTTTCCTGGGTAGATTTGCAAGCCCAGGAAAGGTTCAGTTATCCTCTAGCTTTTTGCCTGGAGGCTGTCTCAGTTCCTTGATGAGCCTCGGGTTGTAGCCCTCAACTTAATGAAAAACTCCCTCAGGTATTCAGGATCAGAGGATTTCCAGCAGGTGGGGCAGATCTTTGCTGGCTTTTAATGAGCCTCAATTTGTATTTCTCTGACCTGGCTGAGTGGTGTTAAATTCCTGAGGGAGGGGCTATTGGTTCTTCCTGGAGCTCTGATAAGGGGCTCTTTGAATAATATGCCTACTGTCCTGTTAGGAGGTGATTCAGCACAAAACTCCCATTGCCCTCCCAGCTCTCCCAGCTCTCTAAGCTCCTGAGTCTCCACACAGTTCCAGTCTAGTCTGGCTTCCCTCTGCTGGAGCCCAAGGTGAGTGGCTGTAGCTAATTTAGTACTCTGTCCCAGCCCTCTGTGCTGTGGAGCTGGCTTGGGATTTTAAACAAGAGAGAGTTGCTTACAGCTAAAATAGCTGTTGTTCATGGGCTCCTAGCCCGCCCTCTTATACCTCTGCAATTCCTACGAGGCTTGATTCAGTGTCCTTTTACTGTCCCTCATTATACGGGTCCTCTCCAGCTGCTTTTCTGTTGTTTTTTTCCTGACAATTTTCTTTATTTTTGTTGTAATTCCAGTTTGGTCCTGGGAGATGGTCTGTGTAGCTTCCATTCACTCAGTCATCATTTTGGAATCTTGAAAATCAATAAGATACCAGGCCCCTGCCTTTTCTTGGTTTTCTTCTTGACCATAAGAAGTCTGTGAAGGGTCCAGGAATCTCAGAGATATTGTGAATTTGGTTTTAGACCATCATAATAAAGTGTCACAATAAAGCAAGTCATATTCTTATTGCTTGTGGAGGGTCTTGCCTTCGATTTATGCTGGTCTTGGAGATCTCTTGATACATTTTTATATTGTAAAATGTATCAAATAAATATGCTGTACTCATGTTGCCCATTTCTATAGTGAAAGGCTAGGCTGTGCCCATACCAGACTAATGTGGGGAGAGGCAAGAGCCAACCTAGAATGTTTTCTTCTTCTATCGCTGGTTTAAGCTTTTGTCCTAAGGCCATAGTCAGTCATCTTTCTCCTATACCTACTCCAGTTAGAAAAAGCTTTTGGTCTCCCAGGATTTTCTTATGAGAATGTGTCTCAGGTGTGCATTCATTCCTATAACCCATGCTCCCCTTGCTTCTGTGTTCCTCTAGGGTTGGGTTGAGGGACACAGTAGCCTCTATTTTGCATTTGGTTCTGCATCTAGGAGACTATGATTGCACTTTCATTTGGTAACGTACTCTTTTGAATTTGTAGTACTGACATGCCCTGGGAGAATTTATTCTCAGAGAGGAACTTTCCATATTTGGCACATTCTCAATGCTGTGACAAAGGGCACAGTCATAGCTGATTGCTTTGCTGGGCTTTGGCTGGGGGCCTTGTCATGCACTAGCCTCGAAGTTTTAGAAGATTTTCACATTGGCATTTGAGAAGTTGTGCTTCAGGAAGCAGGATATCCTTGTCCTTTTCCTTGACAGAGAACACAAAGTACTTTGGGTTGTTCAGGGCTCTCTCCACACACTCGACAAAAGAAAAACTGATGTTTTAAATGTATTTCCAATCCTAGAGAAAAGCTTACTAAATTCTTCACACAACTCAAATGTATCCACTAAGCTACCATTAATTATAATATTACTTATATAAGGAGACTCTAATGTAATCAGTCTCTAAATTTTATTAAAACATCCTTCTGACTTTCTTTTATTCTGTTATAGTTGGTTTAGACCCGATGGATATGTATAAAATATACATAGTCACTGGCAGTTATCAAATGAAACTAACATATTTCACAGGGTATTAGATCTTGAGTTGGGATGTGTATAGAAGTGTAAAGCAGCAGGCATGATGTAGTCACATTTGCCTTGGCCTAATCTCTCCAAGTATAGATGTTAGAGTTTTTTTCTTTCATATCATCACCATTGTTTTTGATATCAAGGACTCCATTTCCTATTTTGGGTGCTTTATTATTCTCTTGGGTCATTGCAAAGGGGAGTGTGTTCACCTGAGGCAGTTGAGATTAAGTTTAGCAAAGTCTCAGCTACAGGTGGACATCACTTCTGCCAGGTATTCCATGAGGGGTATGCCTGCAATTGTTCAATGACTATCCTTACCAGTGAACACCCTTACCAGATGACAAGAAGGACCACTAAAGGGCTTTTCAACAAAGATGACATTAAAATATTCTCTCTCTCTCTTTTTTTTTGGTATGTACCCCTAGCGGGAACCAAACCCAGGACTCTCTGGTCTGCAGGTCAATGCTCCAACCGCTGAGCCAAACCGGCCATTAGCAAGAAAATATTCTCTTAAACTTTCTAATTTAATAGTGCAACAAATGTTTATTTAGCATCTACTAGTGCCAGGCACTTTTTGGGACTTAAAGGAGATATTGCAGAGAACAAGAACAATCAAGTTCAATTCTCATTGTTAATGAGACAAAAATGAACAAAGTATGAAGTTGTAATGAGCTCTATAAACACACTAACAGGGTGAGTTATTAGAGAGTAACTAAGGAATGACTTTAGCTTGGGTAGTTAAGGAAAACCTTGTTGTGAGAAGACATCTGGGGTGACACCAGAATGATATACAAAGCTTTGGAGACAACATCTCAGGTGGAAGGAAGACTGTAGATAGATTGGAGAAGACAGCTTGGGAACAAAATCCTTCCAACATTTAGAAGTTGAGCAGAGGAGGAGGATCTTGCAGAAGAAACTGAGAAGGGCATCCAGGGAGATGAGGAAACCAGAAGAATGTGATGATCTAGACCTTAAAAGAGGAACATACTTTAAGAATAAGAGAATCAACTGTGCCAAGTACTCCTGAGAATTCAAACACCTAAAAGCCTAGAGGTAGCCATTGGATTTAGTAAGATGAAGAACATTGTGAATTTTTATAAGAGTCAGTGGAAGAGAGATGGAATGTGAGAAAGAGGTGATAACAACTGTTGAGAAATGTCATGAACATTTTGCTATAAGAGAAATATAAGTTTAGGTGAGGGTGCCCCCTGCCCCTTTTAAAGGAAGGGGGATACTTTCCTTTAACCTAAAGCGTGTTTGCAAATGACCCAGCAGAAAGAGGTAGTAATTATAGGAACAGGGTTTTTGAGAAGGCAAGGAAGCATGAGAGTCAGAATAATGGCCTTGGCTTTGGCAAGAAGAGTTTGTTTACTATAACAAAAGACAGGACAGAGTGGTAGAGATACAGGTAACAGGTAGATTTGTTGGAAATTTTAATGAAATTTGCCTTATGTGGTATCTACATTCTCAGTGAAATATGAGGCAAGCTGAGAATGAGGAGGGGGATAATGTTTCGGAATTTGGAAAAAGAGGGAGTAATTGTATTAGGGGAATGTAATAGGTTTAGAAGTTTAATTAGCAGTTTGTGTTTACGAGTTTCAGTTTTATATCCCACATATGAGTGAAATCATATGGTTTATAGCTTTTCTGCCTGACTTATTTCATGTAGTATAATATTCTCGAGTTCCATCCATGTTGTCCCAAATGGCAGTAATTCGACTTTTCTTATGGCTGAGTAGTATTCCATTGTATATATGTCCCACGGGTATTGACTTGTGAGTGGGATCATCTGACATCGCTAGAAGTACTATTAATTGAGAGAAGAGGGGAACTTGTCTTGGGTCTCATCCTGTAGAAAGCTCTGTTCTGGCCCTTTCTGTCTGCGACCCTTCATGGAATAAAGGGTTCGTGGGGACATGACCACCAGGAGCCTGATCCTCACCTCTTCTGTGTAGATTATATTCTGTGTACTTGGGGTCCTGGGATCCAAAGGACCCTTATCCTGCTTCCAGGGCTCATGTAGGACTCTTTTCTGAATTCTCCCTCCTTTCAATGGGTTATGCTGCAGGGGTGTCTGCACCCCTGGGCTCCTGCTTGCAGGCTAGGATGTTCATGAGTATGTGGAAGACTCCTCATAGCTGTATGCCACTGGGCTGTGGCTGAGGGCCAGGGCCTGGCTATCTCTTTGCCATCACATTTCAATCCTTGTAGAACCTGGAGTTTGAGAATGCTAAATTTGCACTTGGACTTCCAAGTAATTATATGTGTCAAAAAAGAAGATAAAACAGAACTTGAACAATCTGTTAGCTTGACCTACATACATTCTAAATATTTAGACATGAGGTATGTGCCTGCTCTTGTCACTGATGTTACATGTTAAGAGAGCACCAGGCATGACAATGGATATGAGACGGTGTGGTCCAGTACGAATTTGTGCAATCATGCAAGTGTTTCTGTGCTGCCCACTTCGGTGGCCCCTAGCTCCATGTGGCTACTGAGTCCTTGACCTGTAGCTGGTGAGACTGAGGACACGAACTCTGACTTTTATTTAATTTTAACGAATTTAAATTTAAGTAGCCACATGTGCCCAGCGGCCACCGTTATGGATGGCTTCTTTGTTTTCTCAAGCAGCTCCCGGGGCTGGAGATCAATTAGGCTCGGTTCTGTCTCCATAGAGACTATTTTTCTCTACCCGGTTCCCCAGGTCTGGTCAGGTTTAAAGACTACTGGCCTCTACTGGGGTCTTTCAATCCTTTCTCAGTCTGGAAAGACTCATTCAGTCTTCCCAGAGGTTGGGTGATTTGAAATCTTTCCAGGATAGTATATTGTTATGGCATCAACTATACGTCACTTCCCCCAAGGTCTTCCCTTTGGAAGCTCAAGAGTCTTTTATTTTTTGTCTCAACAAAATAATACCCTTGCAAATCAACATCTTTGACTTTCAAAACTAGTGCTTCTGATGAGGATTTCAAGAGCCTATTTTTGAAGTTCAACAATTTTCCCCCAATAAAACCCTTAAACCTTTCTTTCTCTTTGCTTTCCTATTACACAATTTTAACTCTTCTCAAGGTTGTAAGCATTCCTATCACTATCTCCATAAAAATTCACATACAATGTACTTTTGGAAAAGTATACAAATTAATATTTCATGGTATTTCATTTAAAGGGAAAGCAACAGAACTGTTTTTATGTGCTTGAACACGTCATATCACTATCACCCTACAGGTACCCCTCACTGTGGTAGGAGAGTGAAGCTAAGGCTCCTTAAAATGAGGTGAAAGATGTGGGTGACGTCAGACACACCCCTTGAACCTCCTCTGTCATAAGTCACTGGAATATGTTCCACTTGCCCAGGCTGAAGCTTAGGGACTCTCTGAAAATAGCATGAACCCTAAACAAAAGTGTGAAGGACATAAGTGAAGATTACTTTAATCCCTCCATTCTCTGGTTGAATTATTCAGACCACATGTCCTTGTTTCCTAGAGTTTTTATATTGCCTCTCACTCTCCTGCTTCTTGACCTTAATGCACT